AGCAGATAATTAATCCAGCAGATAATTAATCCAGCAGATAATTCAGAGGTGGTCTGTTTGGTAAATTTTGCTTGTTTTCAAGCTTCAGACTGAACTGAAGCAGCAGCTGCTGACGTCATTACGCTCTTGTGATGCTGCGTTCAGGACAAGCATGGAAAACTCACCACTCTTATGCCAATACGGTCGCAATGATGCATTTAGGTACCGAAATGGAATTACATGAACATTCACGTGGTGGTTATGTAATACAGTGAATCGATAATAAAAAATGTGCAGCGACAAATTTACATAATCGACGTCATCGATTATTTCAACTAATCGGTGCAGCCCTACTTCAATTGCTGACTTCCCTCCTGGTATCCACACGGYGGAGCAAAAGGGTAAAAGTGAACATTTGTTCTGGTGACAAATAGGTGCTCAGACGTAATTTGATTCTTATCTTTGTATGAGATTTGATAAACTAAATGATTTTTCTCCCTAATTTAACTAGGACCCCCTTTGTTAAATCCTCAGCTAAAAGCAAAACTCACCTCACCTCACTCCAAACCTCAAACTCATCTCTCAGTGTTTATTTTATTTGTTTGTTTGTTTGTTTATTCACTTGTGATTGCAAACTCTGTCGGTTTTACCTGGTTCAACATGTCATCACTCATTACTCACCATAATTGTAAATACATTTAATCTGTAAATAAWTGGCCCGTGGAGAACGTGCCAACATAAGCTAATGTCACTTTTGTGTCTTGATAAAKTATTATTGGTTCTGATAAGACAAGAACTCATCAAACCATTTTGGGTAAATTTATTGTGAGACTGATTACAATAAATTTACAGGTTTTCGTCTCTTTCCTGGGTTAATCTTTGACCAAATTAAGAGCATGATGCCTCGAGGTCAGATAATTTGCTCATTTAAATAATTCACAAATTATCCATTTTAGAATATACCCAAAACCCCTACAGCTGAAATGAAGAAAATGAGGAAGAGGAGTGATGCGTGCCAGTGCGGTGGACTTCAGACTTGGAGGTTAGTTGTTTGTTTGTTTGTTTGGCATGGAATATGTAAAAGATTGTAATCGTAACAGAGGCAAACTGCACCACATTATACAAGCTCCATCTTCATCTCCAGGGGGAGACAAAGAGGAGGAGAAAGGGGGAGGAGAGCCCACCCACTCCAGGCCCACAACACAGAAGTCGGACTAGAACCAGGACCAGAACCAGATCCCTGCTGGCTACAGCAGCTGAAACAGGTGACGGGCCGTGGAGCATCAAAAAGAAAGCAGACAGTCTCTGTTGTTCAGCCGTTTTCAGCCATGGAGTGCAGGTAGATCTGCTGTCCCCCCCCACAATCCAAAATAACTTTATTTGTTGTTCTTTGCTTCTGATCCAGTCAAGACCATCTGTGATAACACCAACAAACATGCTAAAAAAAAAAAAAAAAAACAAGCTAGTGGGAAAAAAATATAAATGGGCTCAAATAGACATAGGAGTTATATAAAATCAGTGGTTCCCAAACTTTTCAGCTTTTGACCCACAAAATAACAGTAGCACAGACCTGTGTCCCCAGCTATTTTTGTATGATAAACATTTGTATCAGGTCAACTAAACATGGGCATAGTAACAATATTTTTATACTACATTTATCCATTTTAAATATACTGTACTAACCTCACTCCTTTGTAACAACTAAGGCAAAATGTAATTAATTTAGAAAATCTTTTCAGGACCCCACCTTGATTTTTCGGGACCCCACTTTGGGTCCCGACCCCAACTTTGGGAACCACTGATATAAATCATTGGGTCTCCTGATCTATACGTTTATGGTTCAACTACCAATGTTCAGGACTAATGGTTTTAAAAACAAAAACAAAACACGAGACATAATGTTGGAGAGATTTTATGATTGAGTCATTGTCACACATTTTTGAAATGGTTGTAAAATAAAAAAAACACGAGACATTGTAAGGCTGGAGAGAATTTGTGGAGGAGTCATTGTGACACATTTTGTAAATTGTAAAAAACGCCTGGGAATTTTCACACAATTTAATGTAAAAACAGATATAATTTTGTCTTTTTGCTTAATTTGTATACGTTTATGAAATTTACACTATAGATTTTCATTATAGGTTATAAAAAAATGTTTGTTAAGCATTTTTTGTGAATTTTATAATAAAAATAGCCAGAATTTTCCTACTCACATTTTGTTTTTGTGTGTTTTTTGGTTCACTGTGATAATGCATTTTGTCAAAATGAAACAAACACTCTAAAATCATAAAGCTGAGCTTGTGCTGAAAATAATGATACCAAACATGGCAAGGTAAATAGTTTGTAAAGTGAAAATATAGAGGTAAATTCAAAGTTAGTCAAAAACGGCCATTTAGACCCCAGACCTCAGAGGGTTAAAGCAGCGGCTGATCCTGTGTGAACTGACATCTCCTACTGCACTTTGCTCCTGAGCTACCAGAGACTTTAGCCTCTATAACCTAACTTTATATTAATTATATGTTCAGGCATTTTTATTGAACAGATATGTCAAACTTTGCATGAGTGATTAAACGCCTCTCTCCTTGTGAGAGACTGCTGTGATGGGAGTGCGCAGCTGCGTGTAGGCTGAGTCTTTCTGAGAGATTCACTGTTTGAGTTCTTCTAATTAAACMAAATTAAWTCTAACAGATGAACGTTTGCCCCTTATTAAAGCAAAGATGAGTGCTGGTTTAACGTCACACACAAACACACATCTGGTACAGCTATCTTTATGGGGACCTGGCATTGACTTCCCATTATTTTCTACAGCCTAACCCTGACCACCAACCCTAAAGCTGTCTTCACACTCCTTCCGAACTGCCGAAGTCGGCACGGGTTGTTGCAGTTTCATGACGAAAATTACATCACCGGTGTTCTCAGCGTCGGCTCGGCTGCCCTTTTGTCACAACCCGCGGCAGAACTTTTCACCCCCTTCCCACGACGACGGTAATGTGTGATTGTTCTGAAGTTCGTGGGTGTGTTTGTGCTGAAAGCACTCGGACACTCGGTTAAAAGAAAAAAACGACTCGATTCCAGAGCCGACTGTTACCAGAAGGCAGAGTTTTATAAACATAGTCAAACCGTGAAAAACTCATGGCGTGTTTGTGCTGAAGGTGCTCGAACGCTTCCACTCGGTAAAATAAAAAATAAAATAAAAAAAGAAAATGACTCGCTCCCAGAGCCGACTGTTACCAGGARGCAGAGTTTTATAAAGATAGTCAAGTCACCAAACAGCCCGGACCCCCTCCCCCCTGACGCCCACGCCACGACCCTCCCACGCAGCACCGCCCCCGCCGCACCCCACAACACACCCGGGGACACCCCATAGCTGCCACCAAAATCCACACATTCCACAAGTTCCTTGTTAACAAACTCTTCAAATTTGCCACCGCTCAACAGAGTCGTGCCAAGTCTCCACACCGCCGTCCCGGGATGAGAATCTAAATATAGTTTCAAATACACCCCAGAGTGATCTGACACATTCCCAGCACCAACACCACAGTCCAGAACCCCGCATTTGTCCGCTCCAAACAGGAAAAAATAATCAACTCCTGAGCAAACTCCATGAGGGCGAGAGAAAAAGTGAACTCCCCAGCCAATGGGCGGCACTCCCTCCATACACCAACTAAGCCAATCTTTTTAATCATTTTTTATATATATATAGAGAGATTCTGGGTTGATTTTTTAAAGGGTTTGAGGAATCCAGGGAAGGATGCAGTTGTTCATTCCAGTCCCCCTCACATATCAAAACACCAGCTGTTTCAGCCACTATAAGATCAAATATTTTATCAATGTGTTTTGTCATGTCCTGGAGGTCTATATACGTTGAGTAAAGTTACTTCATTTGAGTCAAGTGTTCCCCTTACCAAAACAAAACGGCCTTCTTTATCTGTAATTTGTTTGAATACCTGAAAGTCCACATTATTTGCAATTAATATTGCCACGCCCCTAGTGTCCATTTGAGTGGGAGGACTAAAATGTCTTTTTAAAACCCTTTTTTTTCATGGTTCTCATTTGTTAAATGGGTTTCTTGCCAGAAGATTATTTGTTGCTGTCGATTCACGACGATTCAAGATTCAGTTTGATTGATTTTTAAATTAGTTAAGGATATCATGTAGTAACACATTTACTTTGATATAGAAGACATTCTCAAAGGAACTAATTCAGTTCGGCAGCAGCATGCTGGAGCTTGGCATGTTCCCCCTCACCCAGAAACGTCAAGAAGATGTCAATACTGCAGCGCTGTGTGAAATAACAGGTAACCATCTGAAAACTCTTGAGGAGAAGTTGTCTTTTTATTTCTCCTCAACCCTCGATGAATCATTTGACTGGGTTAAGAACCCATACAGCTCAGGAGGAGTCTTCTTTCCAAAGATGGAAAGAACATGGCTTTGCAGGAGCAATTCAGAACTGACTGAACTGAGACAAGACTGTGGCTTAAAGCTGAGCTTTGCTGATCTATCCCTGGACAGTTTTTGGTGGACTGCTGCCAAAGAGTTTCCCATTTTTTCAAAAAGAGCTGTTTCAACATTGTTTCCATTCTCAACAACATATTTATGTGAGCTGAGCTTTTCAAGCATTACTGCAATAAAAACTAAAAACAGAGAAAAACTGAGTGCTGTTGAACAAGAACACTTTTACTAAGACAATTTTAGATATGCTGGCAAAAGTGGCAAACTAGTGTGACAACACCTGTAACATTTCAATTATTTGTGGAAAAACTTGTCATTCTATCTAAAAGGGAACATATAAAAAAAAGCCTACCAGTATGTTTTGCAGAGGTACTGGAAGTAGTACATGTAGCAGCCTGTGGCCGGGTTCTGAGCATACTCGGCCTCCCTCTTCTTAGCGTCAGTGATCTGCAGCAGGTCTCCATGATATTCCACAACATAATCACCTTTCTGGAAACACCGAGTGGCAAACACGGCCCTCCCCTTTCCTTCTATATGCTGAACCTACAAACAGAAAGGTCTACAGTCACAAATTTGGACATCAAACGTATTGCTTTTTACATATTCAACGTTTGCATTGGACAGACAGTTTGAGAGGGGGGTGAAGGGCACCGTTTAAGTCAAATAAGAAAAACAATTAAGCAGAGGAGGAGGTCCCAGGTTTCAACTTTCAAATGTTTCCTACTCAGTTTCACCCCAATTCACACCTTCATGCATGTTATCAAAACATTTCCCTTGTCAGCCAGGCAAAAAAAAAGAGTCTACATTTACCCACTGTGAAGGGCAAGTAGTACCAGGGTAATCTACATGTGGGTCTAAGTAACTAACAAGACAGRTCTATAAAGTCTGGATCTCCAGACATTTTGTATTAAGAAAGCGGTCCAGTTCATTTGGTTTCTAACTTGTTTTTTTGAAATGTAATCTTGGACCAAAGTTTATCTGAAACTCTCAGTGTTATATTATATCCACACGCCATCAGGTTTGTAAACACCTCAAAGCCCCCTTCACTCTGAAACAGCCTGAACCCTAACATGTACCCATAATATGAGCCCACCACACATTCTGCTTACCAATATACACTCACCGGCCACTTTATTAGGTACACCTGTCCAACTGCTCGTTAACACTTAATTTCTAATCAGCCAATCACATGGCGGCAACTCAGTGC